TGTCTGCAAAATAAAATCATAGCCACAGCACAGATGTCAATGAAAAAAAGAAACTCTGAATCAAGCAAGATAGACACTGGAATTGTCTGTTTAATATTCATTTTCTACTTGTTCATTCATTTTGTTACTTGCTAGGAGATAGGCAAGAGCATCTGTCAAAGATTTAGGAAAAATTTTATGGTTAAAAAAGTTAAAATAGAGAAATTTCTATACATTTAGTGATTTTTTTAAAATTCACTGTGAGCATCCAGCGCATTTGTACTGGGCATGGTTTCAGATTGAGCAGACATTGTCTCTGGAGAGCATGGCTTGAGAACCCCTATTCTGGGGTGGGAAGTCTAAGCTCTTTGGCACGACCCTGCCCTCCAGATCTGACCTCACCTTATCTGCCAGCCTCATTTACAGCCACTGCCCCCTCCTCCACAACTCCCTCCAGCCAAGACGTGGAATGCCCGAAATGTTCACTGTCCTTTCTGATTTTACACCTGCTGTTCTTCTACCATTCCCCACCCCCTTGATGGCCAGAAAAACTACTACTCATTCTTCAAGACTCAATCCAGTGAGTTGACTTTGTGGTGCCTTCTCTCACCTCTCTGGGTCTCTACTTCCCGAAGGTCTTGCTCCTGACTGATTATATCACTTATCCTATTACCAGTTGTTTGTGGAGAGCTATCTGGCAACTGGCTCGGGAGTTAGGGGTACTTGTCCCCCAGCTTTTCTTGAGTCCTCTAGCACTTAGAGTGGCTGTTCAGGGGAGGCTCAGTGCGTATTTGTGAAATGAATGAGTAAAATTGCAAGGGAGGCAGTTTATTTTTAGAACCTTCCAGCTCCCTACAGGGGTCCCCTCTCCACCTTTTTTGGCACCCCCTCCACAACCCTAGGCACTCCGTATCCCTGTGCTGTCCATTGTAGAAATCCACCAAGATCTGCCACTAATGCTACTGCCAGACTTCAGGCTTCTCCTTTGCTATCCTACCAAACTTTACCAGTCCTGTTTCCTATCCCTCCATGCTAGATTTCAGATAAACCAGTGGTTCTGAAACTTAGGCATGCATTAGAGTCCTCTCGAGGACTTCTTCAAACACAGATTGCTGGGTCCCAGTCCTCCTCCAGGTTCTGATTTATTAGGTCTGGGTGAGACATGAGAATTTGCATTTCTAGTAATTTTGCAGGTGATGCTGATGCTGCTAAACAAAGACCACACTTTGAGAACCACTGGAACAGATTAATGTAAAATCAGAGGCAGCAGGTAATAATGTACAAAGGAATCCTTAGTTCATTGGACTCAGCCCCTTAACTGAGTTTCTGGTTCTATCAGCACTGTCTGGATTTGGTTAATAATCGTTTTTCCTCTGCTTTGCCTTAGTCTCCTTCAACTTTTTGATCATACTTTTCAGATTGTTCTTAGAGCTTCTCCACTTTAGACCAACTCTACTATTTATCTCTTTCTCCTTTCATAAAGCCACCATTTCAGGACAAAGCCCTTTCTGAGCTCTCAGCTCCATTTTACTCTCCGCTTCCCCCTCCAGTCTTAACCGCCTATCCCAGCAGTCAGAGTGACCTTTCTAAAACTTGGCTCGATTAGGGCCCTATCTAGCAGGCATAGCCATTCCCCCTTCCCAGGGAGTTTGGTTCCACAAACAACATTAGCTAATGTCAGTCACCTGCTGGCCCTGTAAAGTTGCTGTGTGCCCCAGTTTCCTCAAGGACAGTGGAAACATGAAAACTGCATTTATGTGCTTCCCTTCATTCATTCACCCAACAAACATTGATTAAACACCTGCAGACACTGTGCCCAGCCCAAGGGACACCATCAGGACACATTGAACATGAACGCATGTTCATGGCAGTGCTCGAGAGTCCACAACTCCTCTTCATGAAGCAGATCTTTTGGCCCCATGCATCAATGGGGACAGACATTCAAGGCGGAAACTAACCAAGAGGATCATGAACCTTCTTGCTTTGGCACCCCCATCTTCCCTATGTCTGGGCATGTTACCTATGGCTAGAGACTGGGTTAGGGGAACCCAGTGAGTTTCCAAATTTTTTTGTTGAAATAAACATAATCCACACTTCTCAGTCATTGGCCCACTGCATTGAGGCAAGATATGTAAAGCCCAGAACTTAGTGAGCTAAAACCTCTCTACACATAAACACACCCACACTGACACACACAATGATACATATACCAACACACATACTGACATGCCCATACTGACACACAATACTGGCATACACACCTTTACATACATACCAACACACACCAAAAATACACACTGACACACTGGCACAGAGACACTGAAATACACAGGCAGACACTCACCAACAAATCCAAATAGGAGTGAACACATGCCAAAGCACACCCACACTGATACATACTGGAACACACAAACAGCTGATACACACAACTGCACACCTACCCACACATCAACACCAACCCACATGCCCCGGGAAACCAGGAGGTCCAGGCCCCAGGAGGGGCATGCGATGGCAGGCAGCAAGTCTTGAAGAGACCAAAGTGTTGCAGGAGACTTGTATGACACGCAAGGTCCGGCATTGTGGAGAAGGCCTCCTCCAGGTTCTGAGGGTTGCTGTGGGCAGGCAGGCAGAGTGGGGTACCCGGGTGGGGCACCAAGGATTGCAAGCTAAGTTAGCCCTGGGCCTGGGCCGCAGTGGACAGCTCTTTTGTCAGCGCACAGAGCTAAGGTGGGAAGGCAGTGGGACGGAAGGTAGGCAGGCTTTCTGGGGAGCCCCACAGTCTGCCAGCCCAGCTCTGCTAGAGTCCTCCCTCTGGCTCACTGGGTGCTCCAGGTATTAGCTCTCAGTTCTGGCTTCCAAATGTGCATCTCTCCTCTGGGCACTGCCCAGGCCCCCTGTCCGGATCAGAGCCAGTGACCTTGGGCCCTTCCCTGTCTGCCAGGCATGACCCTTTGCCAGGGAATACTTGCCTCGCTCAGAGACACACAGCCTGGAAGCAGCCAGTCACCTCTGACTCCCCGCCCCCATCCAGTCCGGGCCAAATCTTACAGCAGTTCTTCATATACAGTCCTGGCAAGTTGCTGCTATCCCAGTCCAGTCCCTGGTGCCTGTCCCAGTGCCCTGGCCGGCCTCTGTCTGTCCCTGCCACCACCACCTGTCCTGTGGGCCTGCGCTGTCTACAGAACGCCCCTGGTCTCCGATTGTTCCACGCTCTTTCTGCCCCTCCTGGGTCTCCAGCACAATGATGAATGCACAGTGGGCACCCCCAATACTTTTCATGACTGTCCCTGCCATTACACCCTCCTTGTGTCCCTTCTTTCATCCGTTACCTGGCCTCCCAAACCCAATTCCACTGCCCTCCTGTTCAGGAAACAACTAATTGGGCGCTACCTAAATACCAGGCCCCGTGCCAGGCACTGGGGATGCATTTTGCAGACTCCTTGTTCTCAGGATGCTCACTACATATACAGAGCTCCTTGAGACAATGAGAAGCACTGTCCCGGCTGGTGGAATCAAGTGCAAGGGAAGCCCTTCATGCAGCCACCCCATTTCTGTGTCTTTCCCCACTAGCTAGGCCTGGGTCTCTGAATCGGGTCCCTTTTCCCTCTTTCTCCAGTTCCTGTTTTTCTTCTTTCCTCTCTCCTCCCTTCCCCTCAGCTACTCAGCCTAGGGGCTAATGCGGGTCCATCTCCCACGCCCCACCCCGCCCCTTGCAGGTCAGCTTCCGCCCATAGGCCTGTCCCATCCCCCTCACCGCCCGCTGCGATCCGGGTTTCCACTGGAGGCTCTGGGTCCTTCTCTGACACCAAGGCTCCTTCCTTTTGAGGAGTGAAGTAGAGTGTCCCTTCTGCTCCGGCCTCCAGCACTCCAAATCTGCCAAGGTTCGCCAGTCACAGGAAGCTAGCCAGGGGCCAACCTCGGGGAGAGGGGCTGGGAGCGCTAGGACCGGATAGGGGGAGAGGTGCGGACGGCAAGGGAGAGGACCCGCGGCGGCAGGTGGCCAGGAGGAAAAGGAAAGCAGGGGGGCAGAGCCTCTTCGTTTGGAGGTTCTCCCCTCGGCACACCGCCGGCCGCCTAGGCCCGGGCTGACCCGAAGTTAAGGGGAAATCGGGGGGGGCGGGGACCGACCCACCCGAGGCCTCACCGAGTCACTCCCCACTATCCCGCTCGACCGAGCTGGGGGCCTTCAACCCCAAGATCCTCTTCTGAGACTCCCAGGCGGTCCAGGCACTGAGGCGGGTGGGTTGTCTGAGCCTCCGCTCAAACGCTGAGCGTCCTGGGTTTGGGGGGAGAGGGGGCGTGGGGCCTGTCTGTATTAAGTACCCAGTGGTGGTGAGCTCGGCTCCATGAAATTACAGCCCACAACGCCCGCGGCTTGGAAACTCCAGGACAGAAGGGGTGTCTCAGGACAGCGGGCCTTGGACTCCGCATGTCACAAGCTCGGCTGGGAGGCCGCAGTGCGGCTCCCCCTAACCGCCCCCTTTTCCAAGCTCCACTGCGAGCGGCAGGTGCCGCACCCGGCCTCAGCAGCCCTCCGGGGCCACGTGGGATGGGAGGAGGTGTGGTGGGGCAGCGAGGCTCCAGCGGCGGGCGCTCGCATCCAAGCACCCTTAGATCTCGGTGGACAGGAGAGAAAGAGGGGTACAGGGGGTTGGGAGGAGTGAGAGGAGGGCTGTGAGCGGGAGGAGGAGGGGCGGGGACTCCCTTCCAACCACCGGGTCTAGGGACTCTGGGATATAAGGCGAGAGCAGGGTGGTGTTACAATTCAGCAGAGGTCGGGACGTACCACAGAGCCCAGTGGCGTGGGGGTGGGGGGCAGAGGACGTGGTCACCGAGGGGTGCCCCCGCCCCCCTTCGCAAAGGCCTCTGGCAGAGGTGGCAGGAAGGACAGGAACTCGATTTGTAGGAGGGGAAAGCGGCACGTTAAATCGACCCCTACCCCTACCCCATTTCCGAGGGGGTGGGCGATAGAGGAGAGGTCGGGGTTGGAGCTGCAGCGCAGGGGCCCCTCCCTTGCACCTCCCCCCACCGGACTTGGTCGCGCCCGAAGTGTAACACTCTCTTTGTCGGAGGAGCTCTGCTGTTTCTTGTGCAGTACCTCCGGTTGTGGAGGCGCTGGTGTCAGCCCTGGCGGACGCAGGAACGATGTCAGCGACCGACATAGCTCGCCAGGTGGTGAGTGCGGGACTTGGGTGCCAGCGCCCGGGCTGGGGGACTGGGAAGGGCCGAGGAGTCCTGGCTGCCGCCACAACCACCGGGAGGAGGACAGTGGGCAGCATCTAATAACCAAGCCGCAGCGGGACTTCTGCTCCCGGGGTCAGCGGCTCAGTCCCCCAGGCTGTTCCTGAGATCCGTGGTGGCGGACGGGTCGGGGGACCGGGCCAAGGCTGCGGGCCCACGGCTGAACTTGGATTGCCCAAGAACTGCCGTCAGCGTCGCCACCTCCCTGGCAGCAGCTGCGGCCGCGCTGCTGGGGCGTTGCCGAATGAATGGCCGCACGAGCCGCCGAGCCCTCCGGGTCCTTAGCACCCCTTCCTGGCCTCCTCGGTCCGCCGGGCTGTGCACAGCTGACCCGGACCTCGTCAGGAAGAGGGGCGTGGGGCTGGGGTTGGCCCGGGGCAGGAGGCGCTGAGTGGTGAGGGAGGCGGGGAGGTGACTGGCTGGGGTAGGGCTTCTCCATATGCATTACATATGTGACTGCGTCTGTACGAGTGTGTGTGTATTACTGTGTGCGTATGACTGCACACGCTCGCTCTCGTGCCTCCCCGAGCAGGCGGCGGAGGCCGGGTTGTCTGTGACCCTAGATGTGTCCGCCTGTTACTCTGAGTGTGTTCACCTCCACGGTGTGTGTTCGTGTGTCCGGACGCCTGTCTGTCTGCTTGCGCTGTCTCTGGGTCCCGTTTGAGCGCCTGTGTGGGGTGCAGTTCGCTGGCCTCTAGAGAGCTAGCCGCTTATTTTGGCGTGTTTCTGACCACCTGACCCGGGGTTTGCGGGCCTCTGGGGTCTGTCTCCAGTGCGTGTTCAGTGTAACTGGGCTTGTGTGCCAAAACCTGTGGAGCTGGCTTCTTTCTATGGGGACTCAGGAAAATAAGTGTGAGGCTTGCAAAAGCGGTGCGGTCTCTCTTTTTGCTGGCAACCGACTGTGGAAAAAAAAAAGTCTTCATTTAAAGAACTGAAGTTTTCCAGCCTGGAATGTGCAGAGAAATCATACTGAAGTGACCTGCAGCTTATATTTGTTGTTTTTAGACCAGAAGTTTGGTTGCGAAGGAGCAAAGGGAGGGGATGATATTATTTGGGGGAACAACCTAGCCAGTTCTATTCATCCATGGATATCTGGGATTTTAAGGAGCCTATGGTTACCAGCACGCTGAGGTGAGGAAAGAGAGTGAAGTAGAGGTAGGTCAAATCCTGTAACACTAAGTAACTACTTGGTGAAAATCTCTGGATCACACACATACAGAATGTTTTTAAACCTTGTTGCTTATTTATTTAGGGAAACAGTCCATGCAAAGCAATTCCAGTGCAAAAATAAATTGCCTCTAGATTTTGGTGTAGTTGAAATTGATTTGTTTTAAAAATCTGAATCCAGAATCTGGTAGTATTTTCTCTACAGTATGTGTATGAATTAATGCACCCTCTTTACCCCTGTTTAGATGGATAGAGTGATTTCTTTTGATCCCTACCCCCTACAAACACCAGCCTGAAGCTCATTATGCAGTCACAGTGTGGAAGGACCAGAAGTAGATAGGAGACATTGCTCTTTGATAATGGAATTTGAGAGAATGATCTTCTCCCCAAGACTGGCACAGTGTTATAAAGGTTCCCAGAGTGCTTTTCTGCTCCTCTTTACCTGCATTTTAGAGATGGCATGGCAGAAGTAGAGGAATTAGTCTCCTGGCTTACATTTGTTCCATCCTTAGTGTACCAAAAAGTCTGCTAATGATTATTCTTGTAAGCTAATTAATTTGCATAGACCTGTTCATATTCTCCCACCAGTCTTCCTTGCCTGGATTAGGATTGCAGAGCAGATGTTACAAAGGGCAACATTCCAGGTTATGTTTCACCTCAGGCACAACTCTGGGCAACCCAGAGATCCCTTTTGCTCTGCAGAGGGGGATTGTGTGGGGCATGGGGGTGGGGGAGGTTTAGGACCACTTGGTTTGCTTTGCACCATTCCAGTTTGCTCTGGTTGGCCTTGACCTACTGTACAATGAAGAGCATATACTCCATAATAATGAAGCAAAACTGAAGGAACAACACAGCAGCAGACTAAGAGACTCCAAGAAGGGACTAGTGGTTACCAAAGAGGAAGGGTGTCAGAGGGTGGGTGGGAAGGGAGGAAGAAGGGGATTGAGGGGTATTATGTTTAGTACACATGGTGTGGGGGACCACAGGGAGAACAGTGTAGCACAGAGAAGGCACATAGTGGATCTGTGGCATCTTGCTTCACTGATGGACAGTGACTGCATTGGAGTATGGGTGGGGACTTGATAATATGTGTAAATGTAGTAACCACATTGTTTTTCATGTGAAACCTTCGTAAGAGTGTATATCAATCACACCTTAATAAAAAATTTTAAAAAAAAGAACATATCGTACTCCAGATTCTGAAGCTGAAAGAGCAGCCCAGGCTCTTGAGACCTTGTTATCATGATAAATGGATTTCTGGGAAAACTGACATCACTTTCCAGGGCCCCCTCCCCCAGCCGGTGAAGCTCTTGTTTACGTGTCATTTGTTTCTCTGCTCTCCTTTGTGAGTGTGAGAAGTTATAATTCACCAGTGGAAGATGAAATTAACTCAGGAGACCTTGGATGTCTGGTTTCTGCTTGTTTCTGCCAAGGAACATGTATCTAGGGTTTGGGAAGAGAAGACTGGAGAATAAACCTAAGTAGCCTAGCTTAAGAGCTCTTTTTAATGAGCTCTGAGACATGGTGTCATGCAAATACTGCCCTGGTATGTGTATGTGAGAGAGATGTCCTTTCCAGAGTCAGTTGAGGGTCACTCTGGCTAGTAAGGTAACATCATTAGTTGCTGCGTAGGACCTTAATTGGGCATGCATGCAACTTGGAAGTTCAGCTATTGTGTATATAATACAATCCCATCTCATTTGGATGAACACCACAAAGATTCTGTAAGACAAAACTCTCCATTGTGTTGACAAATGTTTATTTGATAGACTTATAAGTATCCAGCACTATGACCTGCCCTGGTCAAAAAAAAATGTAGTAGACATAGTTCCTGGCTTTTAAGCTTACTGTCTAGTTGGAGAGACAAAGTGTGGGCCCTGTGTAATAATTAAGAATTACAGAAGATTCTTGGGATGTTCTCACCCCAACCTCTGACTGTGAGGCCTCGGCTGCTATTAATATGTACTCTGAGAGGTTATGTAACTTTCCCAAGGTAACCTAGCAAGGCATGTTTCAGGCAACAGAGGCCACATCTCCTGGCTCTTATACTGAGCTGTTTCTTTCAGTGAGGCATTTTGGGGTCCAAACTCCAAGTGCCGGCCCGTAGAAAGAATGGCTCATTGATTCTGGCTTGAACCAGTCCCACGATGTGGACAATGATGCTTTCCTCTAGTGGCAACCATGGAATGGTCTTTCTCCCTACTGAAAGAGCTTGCAGGGGCTAACTCTGCCCTAGCTGGGGTTGGCCTGGTGCAGCTGCCCCAGGGCAACTGCCAGCATGTGGGGACAGACTTGCCTCTGCACTCTGGTCTTGCTGTTATCAAATGGCAGTTACCCTTGATTCCCCTCAAAGCTCCCTGCCTCATCCATCTCCACCACCTCACACCAGAAGTCATATTGTACCCCAAGCAAGGAGAGCAAAGGCCCAGTATGCACCCTACCTCCACTAGGGACAAAGCACAGAAGAAAATTAGCATCACTCCAAATAGTGAAAGTTCTTGAATCTAAGTTGAGGGTGTATGGGTGATCAATACTGTTTTCCAACTGTGTGTTTAAGACTTTTCAAAATACAAAGTTGGGGGAAAAATATAATGCCCTCCCTCAAATGCATATGGCCCCATCCCTCAGGGAGTTTAAAATCTCGTATGTAAGCAGACACAATAACTATGTAATTATTGTTGTGATAAGTGCTGCCCAGCATAGCTCATTACAGGGGGACCTAATCCAGCAGTGGATGGGGGTGGTGGGTGACAAAGGCTTCTTGAGAGCTTTGACTAGGAAAGGTGTAGGTGTGAGGTTGGGTGAGATCTCACTTCTGCTACTGGGCTGGGAACATTTCATTTGTTAATTCACGCACATTTATTTTCATTCACATCTTCAACGTGTTTACTGGGCAGCAACTCTGCAAGGCTCTGTGCCAGGTGCGGGATTACAGTGGTGGACCCGGCACACAGGACTCTGTCCTAACAGAGCATCCAGAGGAGAGGCAGGAATAAGCCTTGTTGCCTCCGAGCTGGAAATTTGAGCGTTAGTGGTGTTCTTATTACAAAACTGCATTACCGCTGAGTGATTTGTCTCTATAGTATAATGAGATTTTGATCTCCAGATGCATAGCATTTACTTTGTGGTGTCTCTGCTGTAAATTTTCTATTCATTGCTGGCTTTGTTACCCAGCACAGCCCCTGCCTTTGTGTGCTGTCAGAAAGCAAACCCATTGCATTAGCCCAAGCAAAATTAATTAGAAAAATAAGTCCCTTAGAAAAAGGTATTCCAAAACTAAATAGGACTGATTTCTGGATTTGCCTGGGTCTCTGGATTATCAGATCGGTGGTTTTGGATTAGTGTGAACAATTGAGAAGGGCTTTTAGTTGCAGGTACCTTAAAACCACATTCAAGAAAGAAAGAAAAGAAAAAAAGCAAGAATGCCATGGAAAGTAACATGTCTTACGATCTCAGAATGTTTCCATCTGTGTGATTTCATTTTTTCCAACAGCTTCCTGGAAAAGTGTTATTGTCCTCTTCATTTTATGGGTACATGGAGGCCAGGTGACTTAGTCCAAAACCTTACCGCACAGTTCAGCAGATGAAACAATGAAACAACTACCAGATGACAGAGATTCATGAAAACAAAACAAACCTCTGGCCTTTTCATGATGTTTCTAAGAAAGAAAAATCCTGCCAAGTTCCCTCTTCCCCCTCTTTGCTGTGTCGCTCCTCTCCCCTCCCCCCCCCGCAACCCTCCTGCCCCCAGTACACTCATGAGGGTCAGAGAAGCATCAGCTTGGGTGCCTTGAAGATGCTGATGTTAAAGATTCTCAACTTAGATCCCAGATAGCACAGTCATGGGTTATGTGTGGGTTTTCTTTTTTTTTTTCTTCCCATATTGCTTCAAGTAAAAAGTCTTCGAGCCACCAGCCATGTAATGATGGATTATTTAAAGTAACAACTGGTGGGGGGGTGGGCACAGAATAAATTAGAAACACAGACCCTTCCTCCTTGGTTTGGCAGGAGGAGGCTTCTCCTGCTGGGATTTGAAACCCTGGGTTTCTCTGCTGCCTGCACAGAGGAAGGAGGCCACATGCTCAGGAGGGTGAGAAATAACGTTACCCTCTTCTCCAGTGTCTTCTCATTCATTAGAGGCAGCCATCTGCTGAATTATGCAGCGTGCTCTCAGCTGGCTCTGGAGTTGGGTCATCCGTTCCACTCAAAAGTGACTGGGGAAAGATTTACAGGCCTTCTCAGGGACACTCAGGGCTCAGGTTTTTCCTGCCTGGGCCCTCTGTGACCCCACATGAAGGCCCTGGGGTAACAGGAGCAGTACTCACTGATGAGGTGTGAGGTGGTATTTAGTTTCCTTTCATAGCAGAGCCCCCAGCTCTGAACACTGGTGCTGAGGCAGGAACTAGGTTTTTTTCAGATCCACTTTAAATGAGACCAGATGGAGGCAGAGGCAAATTCAGGCTCCCTAGAGGACAGTTGGGCATTCATCCAAAGGCCTGCTAGTAAACCTTTTTTCTTTCTCTTTAAAAAAAAAAGAACACAGATTAGCAATAACAATGGCCAGAACACCTAGAAAGCTGTTTAAATAGTCTAGCTTGAAGGGAAGTGTCTGGCATTTGTGGGAAAGTTGACTCACCCTGAGCAGGAATTGCCCTGGCCAAGGGTGGAGATATTTTACCTAGAATCTGGCTTGTAGGGTTAGGTAGCCCGGGCCTCTTCAGCAGAGCTAGGCAGCTGGTCAGTCTGAGGTGTACGCTGCTGTCAGAAGCAAGGAGGAGATGGGGAGAGAAGGCAGACGAGGTGCCCAAGTCCCTCCTTGGCATCCACTGTCTCAGTTGCCTTCCATGGGCAGAGCCACCTTGTGATCCAGCACACGGGCTTCTGGGTTGAGGTCTGTGAACCCTTCTACTTCTGGCTAGCCTCAAGCCACAAGCCTAATGGCCCAGAATTTTCACAGCATAAGGAAATATATCTGCTACCTGAGCCAGCTTTTCTGTTTGAGAGTGGTAGGGGCTTGACAGGGCACTGCATGCTAGCACCACTCCCTACAACACTAAAGCACTCTAACTCGGGAAGTCACTTCCTCTCTCTCAGTCTCTGTTTCCCCTTTTGGAAAGCTAGCGGGTTGGATTAAGTGATCCTTTAAGGACATTTCCAGCTCTAACATTGTCTGGTTCTTGTTTCCTTGTTCTCCAGCTTATTATTCTGTTAGGTTCTTGCCTGCTTCTGCTTCCGAGTGAGGTGGCAGAATTTAGCTCCACCTTTTCCCTGCTTTGACTCTTTGAGCTGGGTGGGGAAAGAGTTGTTGAGAAGGCAAGTCTCTGCTTTTAGCTCAGCAGGGTCTCTGTAAGTGGAATAGAAACACTATTTTCTACCTTTGGATATTGTCTGTCCTTGTAGGTGTATGTAGCTATTGTCTTCATTTAAAAGTACATGGCAGCTGAATTTCTGTCTATGGAATCCCATTCAAAATGCACCAGGAAAGCTGGCTATTTGATGGAAGCCTGCTGTGAATCCTTTTGTAGAATGAGAAGTCTCTCTAGAATTGATCTGGTATATTAAGATCCAGAGTTTCATTTATTGGATTTGCCAGAAATGGGCCTATTCCCTATACGGTGAGGATGGTCTCCCTTGTGATACCCTAAGCTGCTTCCCTACTGAAGCACATTCCTGGGGCCCCTAAGGGGTGCTTTTGCAAGCATTGTTTCTCCTTGGCCAGGTCCCCCCGTTTCTCTTTTCCAGTTCTGGGTATTGCTACTACTCTTAGCCTGGCTTGAACCGCACAAGAGAAATCCTGACATTTGGTCTGGAGGCACACTGGGAGGGACTTTTTTAACCTCTGGGAATTTATCAGGGATTTTGTGGTTCTTATATCTGATAATACAGTGGTGTCGCCTCTCTTGACAACACTGGAGGCAGCTGATAGGGCCATCATCCACTGACCGTTTTGTCAAGACTTTTTGCTACATGTTTCAGGATGTGTGATTTGACTTCTGGTTCATATGGATCTTCATAATAATAAGTTATACTATATAATAATAAGTCATGTATATATAATAATAATGCTATAATGAGAGTAATGGGGCTTCATTGTATTATTGGTAAAATAAATGTTTTATATACAATAAAACTGCCTGAGAGCTAAGTACCTAACTGAATTTTCTGATTATCTCTATGTACAGCACCTTTTTGGTTGTAGTTGAAGATTTTGCTGAAATATCTGAGGCTACTTTCCTGCCTAGGAAAGTATAATTATAAAATCTTGTTAAAAATTTTTTTTATTCTGATAATAAAAGTAAAATATGCCTATTGTAGAAAGTTCAGAAAACACAGAGAAGCAGCAACCATTTTGATGTATAGTCTTCCAAGCTTTAAAAAAATGCATATGTAATTTTTCCTCATGATTGGGATGATCCTGTGTATTTTGGTTTTGCTTTTTGCCTAGCAATATTTGGTGATCATTTCCCCATGTCATTAAATATTCTTAGAGAATATTTTTATTATCTGCTTAATATATACCATTATGCATCATTGAACTCTTAATTGATTTGAGGTTCGTCATAAAGATTTGCAGGTTCAATCGGAGATGGGTATTCAGGGCTGGGGGTGGAGATAGACAAAGGGAAGGTGTGAGAGATGGAGTCCATCAGTAAGTGACATGTGGGACTGCTGGAGAGAATCCTATTTCAGTGTCTCTGCCCTTTTCTATCATCTATGGGTGAAGTCCAGAGGAGGAAGTTTAGGGAAAGCCCAGTCATTGGCAAGAAGTTTTGACTCTGGTCTCATCCTTCAGAATGATAGCTACTAAGCTACCCCAGCTTTGAATGGAGGCAAGAAATTCTTCATTGACACAGATGCACTCTCAGTTGCACCCACAGTTCCCAGAGGCCTCAAATACTGCTTGCTTACCATACCACAAAGGTTGAAAGAGGGGTGGGGGGGCCAGGGGGGATGCTCACTTGAGTGCTTATGGGACTGTTTATTTTCAGGATAACAGCACTAGGGAAAAGATGCTTAGCTGGACCCACCATAACTTGCTCTGCATAGCATGAAGCTTTGAATATTCAATTAAAAAAAGAAATTGGTGTGTCCTCAGGGGAGGAGGCGGAAGAGAAAGAGAGCGTTGTTTCTGCCTGTGATATGAAATGTGGTTATAACGTATTTCAAACCGCAGGTGGCTGCAGATGAGAAAACAGGAAATGTAATGGGGGGAACAGAGTGGGGGCTCTCCCAATTCTCAGGAGCACTCTTTCATTTTGCTTTCCTTTTAGTTCCTCTCAGACTCTCTGCGTCCTAATTACCTCTGTGGCAAAGCTGAGTGAGAACTCTTTTCTTGTGTTCAAAATGTTTTTAAATTACACAAGTAATGTATGAATACATTCATGATGTAAAGGAAATGACACAAAAGCATACTGACTACCCTCTGAAAAAGCCCCTATTTCTATCCCCCTTCCCTGAGGTGGCCACAGTTCTGGGTTCTCGGTTTGGTGGGTGTCTTTTCAGTGCCCTTTCTATGCATGTATGTGCACATACACATATATGAGACTGTTTTGCATACAGGGGCTCATACTATGCTTATTGTTCTACAACTTCTTTCTACATTATAATATATCTTGGAGATATTCACATCAGTACATGTAGACCTACTTCATTCTTAATGGCTGCAGAATATTCCAGAATATGCATGTACCATAATTCAGTTAAATATTTTCTTATGGTTGGACATTTATTTATTTTTTCTAGTTTTTCAGCACTATAAACAATACTGTAATGAATTTCTTCATACACGGATCTTTGGACAGACACAGATTCTGAGGGGAGGTTGCAGGGTTATGGGAGATGGGCCATATAACATTTTGGTGATTGTGGCCTTTCTAGCATCTCAGTTCAAGCCTTGAACATGGTACCACCTGCTACTCAAGATGATAACTTGAGCTTTCAGTGTCAGACGTGCTGGGCCAAGTTGCCAGTTCTATCTCACCTTGTATGCATTGCAATCCAGGGAACGTTCAATTCAGTGCAATCAAAGTAATTGGGACCTCAGTCAGGCCACCTGAAGGGAAAAAAAGGGAAGAGATAAGGCTTTAGTGAGAGAGGGGGGAAGAAACTTCCAGAAGCTGTCCTGGGGTCCCTGTACATTCAGTCCAATGCCCTTTTTACCTCTGTGTATTTAGCTCTGAATGATGAGGACTGATATTCATAATGATGACCATGACATCTTATAAGATTCATCAACGCAAGAGTGACTGGTGCTCACTAGACAGGATTTCCTAAACAGGAAATATATATACAAATACATTTTTGAAGCTTTCTCAACTACAAGCATTCAGACAAAAAGTTTGCTGCTTAAATCTTGGTTAGCAAGAGAAATACATTAGCCAGCTCCCATGTCCCCTAGTCCCCAAACTTTCCAGTTAATCTAGGTGTGTTGGACACTGGGTAAAAAGATATGGAAGAAATAAGGATTCTAAAAGTCACCAGGGACCTTCACCAGATCCAGATCAATGGTTATTTCTCTGTAATTCTTCCTGACTTCAATCTTGGCCTCTGGTGATAGAAAACTGTTGGGTTATCTCTTACATTTCTGATCACTCTCTTCAAAGAATCCTCTTTATCTTTTCATTGCTTGCTTGCAGGCATTTCCTAAATTCAATCTTTAGCTCTTTACTCCCTGTACTGTTTCTTGGAGAACACAGCCAGTTTCATATCCCTCACTCCTAAATTTTATCCCAGTCATGAATTCTCCTTGAACCTGCAATCCCATATGGCTGAGTACTTTTTAGATTTCTTCTCCTGGATATCTTACAATAAAATCAAAATCTTTTATTTTCCTTAATATATACAATGCTTTTACAAAGACAGAAGAGAAAGACAAACACCAACTTTAAAAAAAGTGGACAAAGACATGAGCAGGCAACTCATATATACACAATGTACATAACATATAGTTGAATAAAAACAGTTCACTTTCATAATAAAATGCAAATTAAATGACATGATGCCATTTTTCGATGATTCAATTCATAATGATTAAAAAGTCTCAGAAACTCAGTGTTGGTCTCAGTGTAGGTAAACAGACACTCACACATTGGTGGCGGAAGTAGACATTTGTACTGTCCTCTGTGGAATGATTTCTCGGTGTGTATCAGTCTTTCCAACGTGTGTGTCCTTGGACCCAACAGGCTTCAGTTCTAGAAATACAACTTAAGGAAATAATCAGAGATGTATGCAAGCCTATAAGAGCAATAATTTTTGTTTATGTTGTCAAAAACTTGGAAACAGGTTAAATGGCTAGCAGTGGACGATTGGTTAAGAACATACAATAAACTGCTACAATGGAATGCTAGGTGGACAATAAGAATGTTTTAGAAATATGCTTAATTACTCAAGAAAACATCTATACTCTATTAAGTGTCAGGTTATGAAAAGGAATATACAGGATTTTCTCTTTTGCAAGAAAAAATGGTATATGGACTGGAGGGAAATACATATAAATATTAACAGTGATATTATGGGTGATTATTATTTTTGCCCTTATAATTTTCCATATGTTCTAAAAGGCCTCCTACAGTGAGCATTGATTACTTCTATGAAGTAAAAGACCCGATAAATGTAATTTTTTAGTAACAGCTTATGTAAAACCAGAATCCTCAACTTCCCTGCTAAGCAAGCATGCTTTCCTGGCTTCCTTCTTTCTGTCCGTGGTGCCATCAGTCCAAGCTCCCAGACCTAGGACCTTGCAGCCTTAAGAGCTTTGTTTGCTCCCTTGTCCCCTCTGCCCAGTCACTCATTGAATCTTATCCCCCTCTTTAGGACGACTCTCCAATTTGTTCCTCCCTCTGAAGTCCCAAGTCAGATGAGTTCATTTCAACCAGCATTTATTGTCATGGTGCCTGGATGTCACTCTGAGTTCAGCCTTAACTGAAGTAAGAGTTCAGTCTTACTGGACTCATCTCCTAATATGTGTTCCCGGCTCTACCCACTCTCTCTCCCAGTCAATCAAGCACCCTGCAGCCAGAATGATCTTTCAAATATGCTACTTTTATCATGGCTCTCCCCTACTGAAAATACTCAAGATGCCCCCAAACCTCATTGCCTAGGGTATAAAAAGTCCATACTCTTTCTTCTGCTATCAGGGCTCTTTAGGGCACTGCCAAAGTGGGTGTTAATGTGGGCACATGGGAGGTGTTAAGTCATTGACAATGAAGGAAATCTTTAGGAATAAGGTGTGGATTACTCCCCACTGCCCTCCACTGTCTTTGGTTTGAAAATTCCCTTTCCTCTCCTTTTGGCACTTGGACCAGAGACCTTGCACCACTTTGTTGAATTTGGAGACAGGAAGCGGCAGCCAGGCACGATAAAATATGGCTCAGGAAACCTCAACTCTGAGTCTGTCCCCATTTTCCAATGTCTGCTATGTAGGAGGATCCATCAAGAAAGCGTATTTAAGTCTCTGTCTTCTCTGTGGTGTTGAGGACCAGGTATGAACAGTAGACAACTTATATCTTTCTTTCTTTGCTTTAATAAAAAGGAGAAAGGGGTGAGGGAAGCAGAAAAGGGTGAATGTAGAACAAGTCCTGAGCTATGCGAGCCACTCATGAAACCCAGCTGTTATGGGTGCCCCACTGCGACCCAGACTACTCCACCCTAGATTGAATGATGGCATATGGTTGTGTGTCAAGAATACTCCACTAGGAGTGTGTGGGGTGAGAGGGTGATGAACTTACCAGATGGTACTCACCAGCACTAGCTCTGTCTCTCACTCTCAGAGGGTCTGATGACACCAAATGGAGTGGGATTCCAAGCTCGGTAAAGGGGTGGCAGTGGCAGCTGCCAAGAGGCTCCTCACCAGCACAGCCCATCCCTGTCAGGGTGAAAGTGTGTCCTTAGGGACCTGGTCTAAAAGCACGTCCAGTCCAGCATAAGAGCTGCCTGCTGGCCCACTCTGGGGTACTGGTACAGGCCCCCTGGCATGAACCATGCCCTTCTTGAATTGCTCTTGACAACCTGTCTGGTTATGGAAATCTTGGTGTAGCCCCACCCAACAGAAGCTCTGACTCCTTACGCAACCCACACCCCCTTGCCTAGTTCTGCTGTCTCAAGCTTCCCTTCTCCTCCCATCTTCCCTCCCCTGTGGCTGTTGGCAGTTAGTGCCTTTCTTGAGTACATGCAGGCCCCTTTAGTCCTTCCTCCTGGCCCTTTGGAAGCCTGCCCCAGTTTGAGATTTTTTCTGTTTTGTAAAACCATTTACAGTAAGAATCTGCGACTTGCAAGCAAAGCAAAGGCCCTCTGCTTTCCAGGGCTGCAAATGGCTTGGCTGAGTCCTGTGGAGACAACGGAATCAGAGGAAACACGGAGGCAGCTCTTTCCAGCTGGAGGGAGCCAGCAGTGTTCCACGGCATCACGTGCTATTTTGGGAGTCTGGGTGGAAGGGTAGCGTCACAAGGCAATAAGAGCAGCAGCTCCTGTTGATGGGATGCTGCCCACATGCTAGGCACCTGGCTCCGTGCTTAAGCATTATCTTATCTCCCATCAGTCCTATGACGTAGTAACTACTAGTCCCTGGTTTTACAGATGGGGAGACTTTGACATGTAAAGTAACTTGTCTGAGGTCACAAGGTGGAGAAGGTGGGACTCTAACTCAGACCTGCCTGATTTCAAAGCCTGTTTCCTTCATCTCTGTGCTGTGCCACCTTTGTAGATCCCCAAAATGCCCTAGAGAGAGGAGGAATTGCTTTTTGAAGTCTCTTTGTAGTATTTACTGAACACTTCTGCAGGTACCAGGTATTCTGCTAAGCTCGTCACATGTATTAGCACATTTGAGGCTCCTAGTCACCTGGAAGATAGGTCATACTAGCTCATATGACAGACGTGGAAGAAAACTGAGTCTCCGAGGTGTTACCTAGCTTGTAACTGATTGAGTTGAGAGTTAACCCAAGTCTGTGACCCTCCAACACCAGCATTCTCATCTCCAGACCCTGTCCTCTTGCCCCTCACAGGCCCCCTCTGTGCTTTGCTCTGTCTGGAACATGGTAACATTCCTTTGGAGCCTTGGGCATGCCTGTACCGAAGAATCCGTGATTTCTAAGCCGATGGGCCATTTTGCTTTGGGGCAGGGAGTAGCAGCTAAGGAAGAGATGACACACTGGGTCTGGGCAGGTGCTACTTCCTAGTATGGAGAGCATTTGGATGGAGAAGTGACACCCGTATTGCTTTTAAGCATGTTTTCATTTTCTCCCCTCCTGTCCCTTCCAAATTAGGGTGAAGATTGCCGAACCGTCCCCCTGGCTGGACATGTGGGGTTTGACAGCTTGCCCGACCAGCTGGTGAATAAGTCCATCAGCCAGGGCTTCTGCTTCAACATCCTGTGCGTGGGTGAGTATTTCCATAGCAGGAAATTCTATTACAGACTATGGATCCTTAATGGTTGGATGTGGCTTTGCAGGTAATTAGGTTAAATAATGTGTCATTCTGATCTATTTGCAAGAGTGTTTCCCCCTGTCGTCTTCTTTTATCTTTCTGCTTGTTTTTGTAAGCAGCCGGCTGTAATTGCATTTTTTCCCAAGCCAGACCAGAATATGGGGCTGTACCTTAGGGGAAACTGAGCTTTGTGACACCCAGTGGAAATTTTGTAAGGGAACTGGCTGGCTCAGCTGTTGTTGTCAAGTTCGTTTTGACTGCAGAAAACAGGAGCCAGAGAAGATTTGGAAGGGAGGTAATGGCTGCGGAAAGGTGCTGCCGACCAGCCATGGGCAGTGGGTTTGGTCTGTCCATTTCCTCTGAAACTCTGCTATGATTGGTCCAGTTTGAGCTCAAGTCCAGGAACCACACAGCTGTATGCAAAGTTCTTTTATTCCTATTAAGCATATATCTGCCTGGACCTTTAGTCTCAAGTGTGGGAACCATATCTTAGTCACCTCTGATATGCTAATCACAGCACAAAGGGACTTAACTAATGTTTGTGAAATGAATCAATGAGTTGACCCCACAGGAACCACTCATTATGTTTCTCAAACACTTTCCCATATTAGCAATTTGGGTCCTTACTTGGACTCTGTGACATGAGCAGAGTGAGTAGCATTCATATCCTCATGGAAAAGATGGAGGCCCAGAAACTTGGGGAGGATAAGGGACTTACCTGAGGCAACACAGAATAAGTGGCAGAGCCATGACAAGGTGTGGATAAAATGAGAGTTCCTGTGGCCAGGATTCTCACCTGACCCTGGTTGACTAGCTCACTGCATACCTGTGCCCTGGGCGTGACACGGTGGCAGGGCTGCAAAGCTGCAGGAGAGCAGAGCAGAGGCTGGAGTGGTGGCAGCGCCGAGGACAAAGGCCCAGAGGACGGCTGTGCAGGACAACTGTGCAGAGAGGCCCAGAGGATGGCTATGTGGGACGACTGCAGAGAGGCCCAGAGGACGGCTGTGTGGGACGGCTGTGTGGGTGGCTGTGCAGTCAGAGAGGCCCAGAGGACAGCTGTGCAGACAGAGGGGCCCAAAGGCAGAGGCCGGCTTGCTGTGTGCAGACTCGCTCTGAGTGAATGCGATTCTAGTGACTGACCTGCCACCTGGAAATAAAGTTGGGTATAACCCTTTCACCCCAAGAACATTTTACTGTCACTTCTTTGCTCACATTGAATCTGTAATGAACTTGCCTGGGGCTGAAACCCATTGGCAAGACAATTGGCAAAAGTTGGCAGGGTTCATTATTGACCAAGGAAAAAGACAGGCTGCCCTTATGGGAGGGGTGCTTCAGCAGGCTGCCCCTCTGAATGGGGAGACAGTGGATCATCCCCCAATGGGTATGTGGTCTGAGGTGGCTTGTCTCCTAGAGGCCTGGGCCCCACCCCAGGACTGGAGGCAGGTGGAGGTGACACCTGAGGCAGTAGGGGTGGCTCTTGGTATAATAAGTAGATCCTTTGAGAAGCAAAGTGCCCGTGAGGCAGCGGGGACTGTGGGTTGGCTGCTTCTCACAGTCTTAAAAAGGTCTACAAAAGAGACCCAAGAAATGACAGCATGAGAATGTGAACTGCAAACCTCTATGGATTCCCTGAGGAAGGAGATGGCCTGGATGTGGGAGGAGGCATCCTGAGAGCGCCGGCAGCAAGGTGCCATTGGAGACGAGACTGCAGCGCTGCCAGGTGTTCTGAAGGAGGAAGAGGCCATCAAGGACAAAGACAAACTCCTGAGGGAAGCACAGGTGGAGGTGGCATGAGAACAACAGCTGCGAAGCATTGAGGTGAAGGTAAGAGACCTTCTGAAGACTGAGGTAGTATTGCTGCGAGGCACAGTAGAAAAGGTAAAGGTTGTAGCAGAGGAGGCATTTGGGGGAGGGGAGAGAAAGGTGCGATCAGCCCCAAAAATGGAGGAGCTGGGGAAGGATGAAGGGGTGGTGCCGGTGGCACTGGTGCCTCCTGTATTGAAAGCACACCCAGTGCTTGTAAAGAAAATAAAGACCCAGCAGCTGAAAGTTCCCCAAGGAGAGGAGCAGCCCCCTCCCCAGGTCGTGGAGCACTCTATGGTCCACCCCTATACTCAGGCTGAGCTGGAGGCTGTGAGACTTAGGGGTGGATGAACTTGTTCTGTCGGGATCAGAGATGGGAAAGCTGTCTTCTCTGATGGGGCAGCCCGCCTTGAGGCAGCGACTACAAAATGCGAGCTGATACGTACAGTAGCTGAAGCAACAAGAACCCGGAAAGAAATAAGACCTGTTACTGACTAGAAGAATTTGAGGGGCCCTGTGAGGGTTATGAGGACCCAGATGTGGGTTGATTTAATACGGGCAGGAGCAGATGAAAGGAAATTAGACGGGAAGCCAAATAGGATCTTACTGGAGCTATGGCAACAGCTGAAACCAGAGCAGCAGTTCCAGCCATTAAGACCAAAGAGGCAGAGGTTAGAGACAGAGCCACGAGTGCAGCCTGTGTGTCTGCAAGACTTTTTGCTGGAGGGCCTGGAGAAAAATATTCAAGCTTCCTTGCATAGGGACCATTGCAGAGGACTTGAGGGCACATAGATTGAGAGGAGAGAATCCTGGAGGGGTGGAGTGTGGATAAAATGAGAGTTCTTGTGGCCAGGATTCTCATTTGGCCCTGGTTGACTATCTCATTGCACATCTATGGGCAATACATGGCTGTTGACTCTATAAAAAGAGCTCTGCCCAGTGCTCTGGGTGCGACACGGTGGCAGGGCTGCAAGGCTGCAGGAGAGCAGACCAGAGGCTAGAGTGGTGGCAGTGTCGAGGACAGAGGCCCAGAGGACAGCTGTGTGGGACGGCTGTGCAGGCAAAGAGGCCCAGAGGACGGCTATGCAGACAGAGGGGCCCAGAGGCAGAGACTGGCTTGCTGCGTGCAGACTTGCTCTGAGTGAATGGTATTCTAGTGACTGACCTGCCACCTGGAAATAAATTTGGGTATAACACTTTCACCCCAAGAACATTTTACTGTCATTTCTTTGGTCACATGGAATCCATAGTGAAATTGTCCAGGGCTGAAACCCATTGGCAAGACAGAAGGACCCAGGTCTGGCTGACCCTTTGTCCCTCCCACTGCTTCTCTAACTACCAGCAACATCTTTTGAGAGCCCAAAAGCACTTTAGAAACTGTTAAGCACCAACTAAACAAATATGAGGAACAACAGTTCCTTGACATTCTGTTTAGAATCTCTCCTTAGACCTAAAAAAGCCCAGATTTGCAAACATGACATAGCATATAATTTTCACTGCACAGTGTAGTAAAACGTACCTGCATATTTTCAGTGACCTACTTCCAAACTTTAATAATTATATAAATACCATAATAAAGCCAGTTTCCATGCCAGTTGGAACACTCAAAACACTTTTGCTAATGGTTCTTTCTTATTTCTGTATGCAGCATATGGGGAACTTACTCATGTCGAAGATCTGAACCACTACTGAATTGGATATTTTACTCTTTAATGTAGTCTAAAGTTCTGTTTTATAACTAAGGTCATCAACTTTCTTAATGACCAGATATTTTTCGGATCATTTTCTGTAGGAGAATGACTTCATACTCAGAGACAAGTAGAGAACAACAAAGCCATTTCTAAATATGGATTCCAGGCAGTTAGCTAGGCTCACTCACTAGCTAAATGACTCACTGCTGCACACCAGCTTTGGAGTCTGAGATGGAAATACATGCTTCATAGAATTACATATCATGGGACTTTGAGTCCAGATTTAGGCTATTAATTCTTCAAATGCCAGAAGTCTACTCATGGTTTTAATGAGGTGCTATCAGGAGAGGGACACAAAATAAATGTGCTGATTGACATTAATATCAAATACTATCACATCCAATTTTATTAGCACTGCCAAATCTCTCCAATCTTTGGCTGACAGCCAACTTAAATTTCACATAATATTTGATGACTGAAAATTTTCTGTGCAAATATATCAGATTCGCTTGGCATTCCTCCTAGAGCTCTGTATTTCCCATACTGAAGTTGAGGAGATAAGAAATGAAATAACAGACCCCTTGCCCCAATCAACCTTTCAACCAAGTGCAATTGGGTGGGCTAGTAAAGCTTTAGGAAGGAGGCCATGTAAATCAGACTGACTCTCTGAGGGCAAGAAGTGTCAGGTAGTTGAACATGTAGACCACAGGCTGCCCTAGGGCACTGAGGAAAAGGCAGCCGAGCTTAAAGTGGAGTGAGTGGGAGAAATAGTAAACTCCATCCCTGAGTTCCCAGCCAGACATTGTACAGCTACAATGCTTCAGCATGCACCTTCTGGGCTGGAATTGCTCAACTGCCTGGGACAGAACCCTCTAAAAGGGAAGAGGTAGGAGGAGACCCTCACCCCCATGAAGTCACCCCCTCGCTTTCTTTTCCCATTTGTCAAGTTTCAGGAAATGGCTGCCCTGTTAATTGCTCTCTTAGCCCCACAGGTGCACCCATTGGATGCACCCACCTGGCCTGGGTTAATTTTATTCCCCTTCCCTGATCCGAAAGAGGCTACAACTTATGCATCCTGCTGTCTGGTCATGCTCACAACCCTGTCATTGCTTGGAGAACCCACAATTTGGGCCAAGGTCACGAGTGGCTTCCAGTGGCTTTAAGGCTGTAATCTCAGCCCAGTTGTGGGCTGGGTGCTGTCACTGACTTGGCGAAGGGTCTTTAGCTTGACTGCTGAAGGTGATCTCTTCTCTGACAAGACTTTCGGGGACCATAGCTACCGCTTGTGCATAAGTGTCAGGTTTACCTCCTTAATGACCGTTATAAAACTATTCTGTTCAGGCACAGAATATGTTCCCCCAAAGCATTTTCTTTTCTTTTCTAATAGGGCATTTTAAGTATAAATGTATGGTAGCAAGAGCTTCCACTATTAACAGAGACCTAAGATATTTTTACCACAGT